GCAGAAGTCTGACAGCGGCGCCCCCTGGGCCTCTCCGGCTTTTCTCCGCAGGCCCCGCAGACCCCAAAGGCGTCGGAGGGGGCAAAGAAACGGACGGCGCCTCCAGCGACTCGGATTGTAAGGAAAGCCCCGAGCAGACGGGGCTTGGGAAAGAAGCCGCCGCCGGCGCCTCGCCGCCTTTGGCGCACTGCGGCTCCGCCGGCCGCCTGCTCCTCCAAGCTCCCCATCACCTCCACCACCATCCTCACCACCAGCACCAGCACCACCAGCAGCAGCAGCTCTTGCACCCCGAGGAGCCCCCGGCGGCCCCTCCCTCCCAGTACCGACCCCCTTCGACGGACCTGCACCCTGGCCTGCCTTCCAGCCACGGCACCACGTCGGTCATCCACACCCCCCAAGCGCCTCCGCAGGCGGCCGGCCCGGGGCCCCTTTCCAAGCCCAAGCTGTGGTCCCTGGCGGAGATCGCCACCTCCGCGGACAAAGCCAAGGAAGCCGGCAGCAGCAGCAGCGGCGAGACGCCCCCGCAAACGCCTTCGGGTTTAGGCGCGCCCGCCCCGACGGCCCGCTCGCCTTCCGCCGCCCCTTGCCCCTTCCCCAACGGCGCCGCCTCGGTGCTCCCGCGACCCCTCTACTACGCCACCAGCCCCTTTTACCCCGGCTACACGAACTACGCGTCCTTCGGACACCTGCACGGCGGCAACGCGGCGGCCCAGGCGGGCGCCCCCAGCCCCCACTTTAACGGATTAAACCAGACCCTTTTGAACAGAGCGGAAAGCTTGGCGAAGGACGCGAAGGTGCTCCGAAGTCAGAGCCAGTACGACTTTTGCAAGGAGCCGCCTTACGAACTCAAGAAAGGTATGTCGCACATTTAATCTCCCGACTTAAAAGCTGAGCTCCAAAACGGGACTTGTGGATTTGGGGCCCGCCTTTTATTTTTATTTTTTGAGGGTGGGGGGGAGAGAAAGTTGTGTTCCCCCCTCCACTCCTCCTCCTCCGCTCTTTCAGTGATTTTCTGCTATTTTTTTTTCTTTTTTTCTTTTTCATCGTGAGCGGTTTTTCCACATTTCTTTCCCATCGAGTCCGTCTGGATTGGGGTTTTTTTCCCCTCCCACCCGCTGCTAAAAAGGGGGGGGAGGGAGGGAGGGTGGAAGAGAAAGAAAGAACGAGAGAGAAAGAAAGAAAGAATGAGAGAGAGAGAGAGAGAGAGAGAGAGAGAGAGA